AGCTGATTTTTTTACTGTAAATATAACTCATTGAGCTCTACAAAATGGAATAACTTTCAATCGATTCGAAGGAGTCATGTGTTTTTGTGGTCGAAACCCCATGGAATAGGCCGCCTGTTGATGCTAGCAGAATTTCTAATGGTGCTTATAATATGTCTGACAATGCCAGAAGTATGCCAGGCAGATGCTAGTAACATGTCTAACGATGTTAGAAGCATGTCAGTCAGATGTTAGTAGGATGCCTGATGAGGCTAAAGGCGTTCCTAATATTCCTAGAAGTATGATAGCTGATGCTGGAAACACCCGTAAGGATTCTAATAGCATATTGGGGATTGCTTCGTGTGTTCCTATCGATAATGAGAGGATCAGAAGATGTGAGCTGGTAATTTAGCCCACTACATAGAAGCTGAAACTCTGTATCATGTCTTTGTTTCTGATTTTACGAGATGTAGAACTGAAGCTGTCACACGTTTAGTTAGGAGAATTGTTTTCTGTCACACGCATTTTTCTTTTGCAGAAAAAGAAGACTTTCGAGTGTTGTGATTTTGAAAAGAATTCATTTACACATGTAAAATATAGCTTTTTATTTCTAACAATATACAATTTTGATTTTTCTAAAACAAAGATTTCTTTCTTGTTTAGAAGAGAGATGAATTTTTACTCACTCGATTGATTGTACAAACACGAACTTCATCTAATATGGATGAGGTATATGAAATATTCAACCTAAAGTAAGTGAATTGTTAATTATAAACAATGTATTAACATAAAAAACTATTATTTACCGGTCCATGACTTTAGTTGGGGTCGATAGAGTATCCTTAGTAATTGTTGATGAAGTTAATTGTGCAGATGGACCTGAAACATAAAATTTTAATAATGTTCATAATAAAAGAAGGCTGTCTATGATTATATTGAATGAAACTATTGTTGGATATACGATTGTGAAAAAGCTGAGTAGATAATTGATAATTTACCTAGAATTGGTACTTGAGCAGCTGGTGATTGAGATGGTAAAGTTGATGGCCGAGGTAAGAGAGATGGAGTAGATGAACTTGGTATGGTAGGTGAAGCAGGTGGTAAAATTAGTGAAGGTGTTGGAACCATTGGAAGAGTTGAAACCAATGGCAACGATGTCGAAGTCACCGGTGAACGAGGTAGTATAACTGGAGATACCGGACGTGTTTCTGATCTCTTCTGCTCGATGACTAAAATAATAGATAGATTAGTCTAAGAAATTTTTTTTATCTTACTTTCATTGTCAAAGAAAATTACAAATGCCAATTTGGTTGGGTGTGCAGCAACCATAGCATTGTTTTTCTTTGACTTGATTCCAGTTACCTTCATCAACATGCGCAAATAGCGCCGCATACATTCATTGATGACATCTGTATTTCTATCAATGAGTTGAATGTTACTCTCCTTGAGGGTGTGGGTGTGAATCTTTCCTCACTTATACCTACACCCACCCACACACCCACGCCCTTGCCACAAAATTTTACTTTTTGAGATGAGTTTGTTAGTTTGAAAGAGCCTAAAAAGTTACTCCGAAATCCAAATTTTGACAATTTTTGGTCAATGTCTTCTAATACTTTGACCACCTAATATTTTTTATTCAAAATATCTATTTGTTAAACACTATGGTTTTTCGATCATTTTTGTTTACGAATTTTTGCCTCACAAAAATTTGAACAAACACACTACCAAATTAAATAAATCGAGGATGTAGGTGTGAGTACGGATGAAGACAAGAACCACATCGAAACAAATGACCACATCTACATCTACACTCGCAACCTACAGACCCACCCACATCCCACATCCCACACCCCACATCTCACACCTACCCGCACCCACTCTATCTCTCTGAATCTATTCCTCAGCGAAGCATATTTTTGTTTCTTTCATTTCGTACTATCTTTTTTCATATGCACTGTCGGCTCTTGACCATGCCAAGTTTATCTCTTCTCTCCGTTCTTTTTTCCTCGCTCACTATCTTGTCTAATCATTTTTTCTTTTGTGTTAAGGCACTCTGCGCACTTTTCTTTGCGCATTTAAACATCGTGAGACGACGAATAACGAATAAATCTTTCGTCTTAGGTCTATAGTAGACGTTTTAGTTTCATTATTTACATTAACAAGACGAAGAACATATTTTCTATGTTATCGCCGTTCACCACCAATCTGGTAGATATTTTACCAGAGGATCCATATTATCAAAAGGGACTTAATATTTTCTCATTATTACTAACTATGCGTGATATACTTGCCTACTTTAATGACAACATTGATAAATATGTTTCTTCGGATACAACTCACAGTTAGTGACCATTCGTAAAGACCATACGATGCTTGTGCTTTTCATCCCCTTATTAGAGTCCGAGAACATGATGAAGTAGCCTTTTGGAGCAAGGACAGTATTGAGAGTGTAGCTCGCAGTGTCCGACACGGGTCACTTTTTTTGTGACCCGATCCGACCCGAGGTCAGAAAAATTAGACCCGACCCGACCCAACCCGAGCATGATCTGACCCGACCCGACTCGACCCGAGCATGGTCTGACCCGACCCGACCCGACCCGAGGTGAGGGATAGTTTTTGGCCAATCAAAGTGAGTTTTTTTCAGACATTGACAATCCTCTCAGTAAATCGATACATATTCTATAGGTATTCGAAATAAAGAAGTGATTATCTCATCTAAAATTGCTGCTTTTCTTGTGTAAAGTTCGGAATTCGTAAAACTTTTGTGACCCGACCCGACCCGAGCTCAAAAATTTTTTTCGTGACCCGATCCGACCCGACCCGAGGTCAAGTATGTTTTTCGTGACCCGACCCGTGTCGGACACTGGTAGCTCGTGTTTTTAGTCCTGATGGAATACGTTCATTCTGTACAAGCCCTTGGCGCTTGTTATCTGTCGGCTGCGGCGATGGTCTATTTGATTTGGATCTACTAGACATAATTGCTCGACGTTTTCCTCTACTTGATATTGAATATATTGGTCTTGAACCAAATCAACACCGACTCAATTTATTCAAAGAAAATATTTCGTCATATTCATCCATATCTCGCTGCCATTTTCATTTGGAACAGATCGATCTCGATGGCTATGAGAATAGACAGAAAGATGAGAAATTCAATCTGATTCTGTGCGCACGTGTACTGTATTTTATGCACGATTGTCTTGAGTCGACTTTTGTGCGACTTATCAACAGATTAACAGTAAAAGGAAAGCTGCTTGCTCTTCACAAATCTCCAAGTGGTATGGCTCAAATCATTCAGGCTGCGGGGCTCGACCAACTGTCGCCCATTTTTCAGTGCAACACTTATCATTTGCGACAAGCTTTGGAGAAACTTGTTTCCCAGATGCCTTCCTTACATTTTAACATAATCTATCTCGATAATTACGTGGACATCAGCTGTCTAAAAAATGTCAATTCGAAGGAGGAGTCAGAACGTGAGAAAGCAATAAGCTTACTCAGCTTCTTTTTGGGCAAGAGGTTACTAGGAATTGATGAAAAACTGCTGGAAAAGTTGGTTTTCGAACGCATTCTGCCGCACGTTGCTATTTACAAACAAACCAATAGTGACTTATGCTTTATGTTTCACCCGATGGGAATTGTTCTTGTGGAAATGCGCTCGTAATAATCAGAACATTTTCACCACAACATTTTGCATGATGGGTGTGGGTGTGGGCGTGGGGGTGGAGGTGGGGTGTGGATGGGTGTGGGTGTAAGTGTAGGCGTGTATCTTCTTCTGTAGTACGCATCAAGCCACAGCCATACTCACACACCCACACCCACACCCTTTTTAATGCGTTTGTTATAGAGAAAATGATTAAATTCACAAGCAAGTTGAAAGAATATTTAGGTTTGTATTTTCAGTAAAAATGTCGTTATATGGCGAAAAAGTTTGCTGCTATTCAGAAAAACATTTTGCAGGATCACATTCGAGAATAAATCGCTGAAATACACCAATTTTAGAGATGAATTTTCTGGTTATAGCATATCAAAATGTATTTCAATATCTATGAAAGCAAGAAATAGTTATGCAATAAAACGTAGAAGTGGAGACAAATTCGACTAAATTTATTTGTTCAAAAAGATTTTTTTAAGGATATTGAAAAAGATTTAGATACAATAATATAACGAGGTAACAGCTCTGTTAAATTATTTCCATGTATCCATTGGTTATAAGATGTTCTTTTAAAGTTGGTAACAAAGTTGCTAGCGATTCATATTTAGTACATTATTTTTATGACACTCTCAAGATTTTTCTTCAGATTATGCACGCTATATAAGATAAAATAGGTAGCATCGCGAGGTACTTGTAATTTGAAAAAAATTCCATCTTTAATTCATTTCAAGTTATACTTTAAACATATAATGTATCTTTTTTATCATCTACACATTGCGCAAATCGAATTTTAGTCCAGCTTCTTTCTCTCGTTACTGCTTTTCTCTATAGATCATCAAGAATTATTAGTTATTTTGTTTCCAATAAAAATTTAAATATGTATTTAAACAACACTTGACAAATGATGCACTTTAAAACATAAATTGTTTGTCCTCTCTAAACATAGTTTCTGTGTAATATCGATAGCAATTATAATCTGTCATTCCTATTGTCTTCTTATTCGTCTCCTTATATTTCCTCCTGTATTGTGTTTCTTTAAAAGTCAATAAATGTACTGTAAAAATATTTATCTATTTCTATTTTTCTTCCGCATCTTTTATCTCTAATTGTGCAACTAGCAGTGTTAAAATGAAGTTGAGCTGTAAAAACAAAGACATACATAATACTTCAATTGGATAAATATTTTCAAAAAATCTTTGCTTGCTTTTTTTCCGTTTGTAAATTTAAAAGCTCTTTTGAATATATATATATCTGCTCGTTCCTATACAATTTCCAAAATGATTTGATGGATGGCGCTAATAGTGATAAACAATATGTACGTATGCTTCTGAGAAATATCGAGTTTTACCTAAACATTATACATTCATCAATAGAAAATCTGCCCAGTGAAGGTGTTCCGTATGTGAATGTAAATTTGCTGCTAGAAACATCAGACTATATTCAAGGGCTCACAAAAGTTAAAGAAAATTTCATAACTTTTGTGAATGGACACAGAAACTCACATATTTCAATTCCGTTAATGAAAATGAATATTTTTGTTAATACAATTGAAATAGATCAATTTTTATTGGCGTTTCATGATCTGAAATATGATGGTTTTCATGTTTTTGATCTAAAAGTATTGACATGTTTTTTTGATTTTGTAAAGTCCCAGTTATAGTTCTAGTGACGGAACCAGGATTTTCCAGTATACTATATCTCAGCTTCAGGATATGAGACCATGATGCAATTTATAGAGGATAATGTTGAACGCAAGTGGCGAGTTTTTATCAAAAAAAGTTTGCAATTAGAGTTTGCAAAAAAACATTTTTTTCCTGAGGTACTCCTAGGTTTTTCTGTTGCTGTTAGTAACATTCTGCTATTTAGAATATAACAGTAAGCTACATTGAATTTTATCGGCAGATTTCGAATTTCATCTTAAACTAAGGAATTATTCAGAAGTTATAGCGTTTTGAATTTCACTACAAGTTACTGAAAATTTAGCATATTTTCAAAACACTATAACTTCTGAACAGTTCATATTTTTAGATAAAATTTGAAAATACGATGATAAAATTCGATGTAGCTTACTATTAAATTGTAAAAAACAGAATATTACTAACAGCAAAAGAAAAACCTACACTCTAAAAAATTTCCGCATCCTGGGAAACCGAAAGGGGTTCGGAAACCCAATCGGAAGCCCTTTTCCGTTTCCGAGAGGGTTTCCGAAGATTGAAAGCGTTTCTGAAAATACCTTTTGAATTTCCGGACATTCGGAAACCCAAGGATTTCGTACAATACTCAATTGAACACTCTAAAAGTATTCTAGAATACCTTTTTCTTGCTTTCAGAAACCCAATAGGTTTCTCGAAAATTGGAAAGGTATTGTCGAAAACCCATATTACTAGTAAAGCTGGATTGGTATCTGAAAGAGTATACGAAAATACCTTTTCATTTCCTAAATGGTTTCCGAAAATACTCAATGTGAAAAAGGATA